CCGGGAGAGATGAGACCTCTCACACACAGTTCCTTTCCACACTGATCGGGACGATAGAGAAACCAAAATGCTCTGGTGGTCAGAGGGTGACGGAGGGAATTCCTCTTTTTGAGATTGTGGTTCCTTTGAATCCTCACCGTTTTGCTGTTGGACGGTTGTAGGGTCTGAACCATTGTCCTGGTGTTCTACTATACCACTCCTACTATTTGGAGAACTCTTTTGCACAAAGCCTTGCCCTGATGATTTGTCCCATATGTCTGCTGCCTCCTCAACAGATGGATTGCTTTTGTCTGCTGGTGTGTCTGCCAGTGCATGTCTTTCAGACAAACTTGAGTTTCTTCCCTCTATCACACGGTCAGGCAAATTCAATGAAACATTACAGCGTGAAAATATGTAACCTGGATTTGATTCTTTAGCCTGCCAGCCTGAACCATTGGAGATCAGAGGATTTATGTCCTTCTGGATGGATAGATTCTCAGTGGTCGAAAGCAATTCTGATGCTGGGACACTGTTTGCTCGTTGTGGTTCAAAACCAGGTAGCATTGTTGGAGATTTGGAGACCGTGAAACCTGGCACAGTAGATATGGAACGTTCAATGCTTGCAGATTTATCTGGAAGAGCTACGGTAATCGGGGAGTTCAAGGGGAGTTCTGGTGAGGCTCCTTCGTCAGCAAGAAACGATGTCTCGAGTGCCAAATGATAAGCTGCAAACACTCCATATCTTACCACATGCTTCACTTTTTTCAACTCGTCTTCATTAGCACCCCTAAGCAAAATCTAAAGAATAAAGGACACAAAAAAAAGTAAGAACTAATGTTATGAAGCAATTAGATAACAAGAAATCTGCTTTTTAATTCTAATGGCTAGGAGTGCTTACTGTAAAGCCTAATGGCCTTGGACAACCCTCAAAATACATAAACGTCGTCACTGCTTTCTTTCCAACTTGACCATGTTCTTCAAGAAACCTATCCACCCGAAAATTCTCACAGTAGCCCAGCTTTTGAGAGGAGAGGTGGTCTACTGAAGGAATTATCTGAGCACCAGTGCAGCGAGCAATGCGTTCTAAAAGTGGCCTCTTAATGTTTAGAACAAGAGATATGTCTTTGGCTAGAAGATACTCTTGCGCGAATCGAGACACTGATTTTTCGACTAGTAGAATATTTGGACGTTCAGCGTGAATCTTTGCAACAGCCATCTTTAGATGCTCTTTTTCCTGAAAACAAGAATAAGTGCAAGAAGTAAAATAGTTTAGGCATAAATAAGCAAATACCATATCTAAAAGAAACGAAAAATGGAGGCACTCAAATTGCACCTGTTGCAGCAAAGTATCAAAACTCGAGAACTGGTTTGAGACCCTTTGATACTCAAGTGCACCGCCTAGAATCAATAGTCGAGCTTTCTCAATCTTCGCTTTCATTCTCCTATGAGCCACATTTTTCTTGCAAACAACTCCCTTAACCACCATGCTGCAATGTAATACAAGGATTACTAGAAAAATGAAACTTTACTATCGACTCAGTACCATTATTTTGGGATTAAGTTTTGTTTCTTCTATTACCTATCATGTCGGAACCCGGAAGCTAAGCACTTTACTTTGACATAGCCACCAGGATCCATTCCTCCACTTTTGCTCATATCAGGCTTCAGTAAATTAGCCGCCTCCCAAGAAAGAGAGGTGATAATCTCTAGCCAGCCCTCTTTGCCATCTTCATCGCTGACAGGGAGGTTATCGACTTGCAACAGTTGTGCAAGCAAAGCTCTGAAATGTCCATCAACCACATTCTTCATAGTCTTCTTGTGCTCTTCACTTGTTCGGTCCTCGCTACGGAACTCTCCACTTCCAAAGCTAGTGGAAGGTCGTAAGTATCCCCACGCACCTGAGACATCTACCTCATTATCTTCCTCGTCAAACAAAAGACTTTCTCTCTCGTCTTCTTCGTTTTCTGGATCAGGTGGAACCCATAAAAGTCCATTGTTCTCGAAATCCACCGGTTCTGCCAATTGATCATCTGGCGGAGAAGGTGCTTCACGACCATCATTCTCATCTTTTTCCTGGAACTGCTCCCCAATTAGAGATTCAAGACTCGGAGGAATGAGTGGAGAGCCGCTTACACTTTTCTGGTCAGCGGTTTCGAAACTCAGGTTCTTACTGGGGCCATCACATATGCTCATCTCCTCATATTCCATTGGGCCATAGTATTTATTAGCTAGAGGAGAATGACTCGTCTCAGTATCAGTCTGGTATGCACAATACTCGTCATACTCATCATCACTCCTGATGCATATAAAGGACAAATAAAAAAAATTATTAAGATATTAAGTTACCCAAACACAATTGCGAATCTAAAGTATTCTGATTTCCTAGTTTGACTATAAGTTACTGCTACATACTTCACATGCAATTGTGTAAAATCAATCTCTCCCCTGATATTGCATAAAAAGCGTGGTCAAGGGCCACATGACTTTGCAGAGTCTAATAAGCTTCACATGTACCTATGAGAGAACTAAGAGAAAGAGAGTACCTATTTAAAGCAAAGCGAGATGAATCTTCCACATCTGTAGCCATTAAACTGTCCCTCCCTGAAGTTTCTTTGCCTTGCCTGGTTGTGCCTGTCTCCTGAGAAGCTACTCCATGCAAACTGACATCAGAACCACGTTTAACCCTTTGATAAGGACCAACCAATCCTGGCATCGAGCCAAGAGTAGTACTATTGGCAGTTGTACTAGTCTTTGAGCTAAGAAGACTCGTCTCAGAAGATGAAGTACTCATTCCCTGAACATTCGTTACATGCTTTCCACCATCACCGTGCTCCGATTGCCGATAACAATAATTACAAACACGAATCCTCTCCCACTCTTCACGTGGAGTCCTCAAGTCGCCGCTGGTAGGCGGCAAAGGTACTGAATTCGCTGTACATTTCCCACAGAAAACTCTCCCACAAAGACGGCAATGATGCCTACGGTTAATAAGTGTAAACTGAGAATCACACTCATAACAAACACGACAGCTCTGATCAGGCATCCAAAAATCTCTGGACACAGTAGCTGGCTCGGATCTCCGACAGGGGATCCATGATTTCAGCAGACCCACAATCTCGCAAACTGTCTTATTACAATCTCTTTTATCCATCTACAAGCTTCCCAACCTATGACGGTCATGGAACTCTAGAATCCATAACTTAACACCTAAGAGAGATGCAAACCCTAATCTCCAACTCCTTAAAGTCACTCTCCAATACGTTATAAGTTGATATCAGAATAGCTTGTAGAGATCCATCTATGTGCAAACTAATGGTCTCTCATCCTTCAAAGGATGCTTAGAGCAGAGAAAGTTTCAACCTTTAGCTTAACCTCTCACTGAACAAAAAAAACATTAAAAATCAAAATCAATTAGAACAAAAGTTAAAACTTTTTTCGTGGGGTTTTCACGAACAAAGCAAACACCTTTTTCTAGGTACCTAATTGAGCAAACCCTAATCATCAGGAAAATCCAAAATTTCTAATTTTTTTTGGAATTAATCAAAATATTATTGAAGGTTTGTAACCTAAAACCCCTAATTTTGAATCGATCGTATTGGATTTTACCTTCTCGAATCACCAGAAGAGTCGTCGTCTTCTATGAGGGATTTTCCCTCCTTTGAATTTTTATTTTTTTTAATCTGAAAATTTGGAGCTTATTGAGTGATTATTCATGGTTTTTTTTTTCTGTGGTGGGGGAAAGCGAGCAATAATAACCCGCGTCCCACAGTTTAACCATACACCTTCACGTAGCTGATCTAAGAAAATATTATACAAGGATTTGTTTGACCAATTACATTTGTTAAGACTTTTTTTTTGATAAGATGTAGATGTAATATTTAAAATAATTTGAGAAAGATCCATTAACATTTAAGGCTTCGAATGGTAAAAGCAGATCAAGCGGTGCAGATCAAGCGGTTCATGCAGATCAAGCAGGACAAATGCAGATAAAGCAGGACAAGTGCAGATCAAGCGGATCAAGCAGGAGAGATGCAGATCAAACAATATATCATAAATTATGAATGACAAAACAAGTTCAAAACTATAGATCATATATTAAAAGAATAAAATTATACCAAATATCAATATAAATATTTTTTTTGATCAAAAATCAATATAAATATTTAAATGTTGTAGGATCAGCCTAAATGTTTATTGAATTTTTCATAAGATGCTTGTAGCGTTTTAGTTGATCAAAATTATTTTTGAATAATAGACATCTTAATATTTAATTATTTGTTAATATTTATATATAAAAATGGAGATAAAACAGATTAAATAATTTATTATAAATTATAAATGAAGAAATATGTTCACATTATATATCATATATTAAAGTAATAAAAATTACACCAAATATCAAAACAAAATATTTCAGATGTTGTATGTTCAGCCAAAATGTCTGTAAAATTTTTATTAGATGCTTATACTTCTTCTATTTATTAATTATATTAAAATATAAAATAATTTTTTTTTTTGCTGACACTTATGTAGAAAAATTTATATTTTTCGTGGAAAATATTGTGTTTTTTGGCGATTAGACATCATGCTTATAACTTTAAAATGATACAAATAATATTAATGTGAACTATATAGTTTGTGTTAATAATTGTACATTATTTATAAAATCAAATAAATATATTTTAAAGTTAAGTGTTTGTAATAAAACTATTTATTAGTAAAAAGAAAAAAAAAAGCAGATCAACACCACCAAATGTTAGCGGATGGGATCTGCATACAGATCTCCTGCTTTTTCTACTAAAAGACAAAAAAATTGAACTGCATGCAGATCTCCTGCTTGAACTGCTTTTACAAACAGAAAATGGTGAATGGTAAACATAAGGCAGGAGAACTGCCTATTGCGGGAGAACTGCTTGATCTGCCTTTGTCCTGCCCCTCCCATTCATAACCTAAATTCCCAATAACTTTAGATTACAAATCTGCTTCATATTTAAGCACTTTCTTGTAAAATCTAGTTAATTTGATTATCAAACATCATTTCTACATTTGCTGAATCCAAATTTTAATAGTTTAAATACAGTAATGTGATACAACGTAACTTGGGAGATATATAAAATACTTTGTCAAATATTTATCACCCAGATCTAATGTTATTTACTAATGTGAAATAGTTTTAATGATAAGAAAACTTTAGAAAACAAAAAAAAAAAAGAAATTCATGAAATGTTGAGATTGCTTTAGAACTTACAAAATGGGATTTAATTATGTGGTCAGCTAGTCCGCATGTATTTGTCAAATTGTATTACGTGATACTATTTGTATGTAGGCAATCATCAAAACAGAGGAAAGGATGTACTTATTGGACTATGTGTCATAACTTATAATATCAAGAGATAATGACAATAACAAAGATTTTTTTTTTTTTTATCTTAACAAGTCCATAACGCTGTACAAACAGTAATCAATCTTCGCACCCAAGTAAACTTCATCGGCAAGTTTTATGAGACCAGTTAACTTCTCATCATGACTTCTTCAACAGTTTTAGAAAAATATATGTATGCATTAACACACAAATTGTTTCTTTCTACTTAAGTAGCTTAAGTTTTGGTTACAGTCTTGTAGTAAATTAAACATGAAATGTGGTTTTAAGTTACTTCGGTCGGTTGGATATCTTGTTTCTGTGGTGTCCATCTGATTCTTTTCCTCCGACTTGTTCAACGATGAAGCTCAACGGTGCACACTCATACGAAATCTCATCGTACAACAATTCCTATGAAATCTCTAACAATGTAGCTTGCCGTGTACGTAAGGCTTTAGGGTCCTTGAGATAATCTATGTACTTTTTCAGTTTCTCGTCCTACATCAGGGAGCTTCCTTCGTTGAAGAAGTAAATATTTCAATTTGGTATTCTGTACAAGAATGAAACCATACTCATCAGTGAGACACAATAAAACCTTACAGAAAATCGAGGTCATTCAAGAAATCAAGAGAAATTTCCTAGGATAATCTCTTTTAGTTTATTTTCACAAAAGAACATTCAAAGTAGAAAATGACCAAAATAAGTTTTATTGAAGTGCAAATATATTTTTATACCAAAAGAACATTCTACACCTTTTTGTTTAGAGTTAAGGCACTACAAGAATAATGCCCAATTTCCGACAGCCACATACATCAGAAGTTTCTCGGTAACGAGCATTTCCTACTACATTCCGACAATCAAATTTTAGTCGGCGTTTGGGTCTCGGAAACTCATTTTCTCGGAAATAAGTCGGTACACTCCGACTACTAATATTGTCGGAACGCTTTGTCGGTAATATATCGGAACATTCCGATGAACTTCAAGAATTCATTCCCAATAAATTTCCGAGGAATTAATGTTTTTAAACAAAAAAAAATAATTTATATAAATAAAGCTCAAATAATATTCATTTTAATTAAAAATGTATTACATTTACATATAAACAAATTAACCATAAAAATCCTAAATAAATCAAAACAAGAAATAAAAATAAACTATATTTACTATTGGTCGTTGAAGTTGCAACGGTGGTGTGGTGCCGCCGTGCCAGATTGTATCTCTTCGACAGCGTAGGTGTAGGGTGTGAAGGTGGAGTGAGCGGAAACGGGAACGGCGCCGAAGTGATTGCAACGGTGGTTGTGGAAGAGCGGCGGCAGCGGTGGAAGGAGTTGCGGCGGTGACAATGAGAGAAGTTGCGATTGTCACGGTTGCGGTGGTGACGTCAGTCGTGCAAAGAGTTGAGTGGTGGTGATGTTTTGACAGATTCACAGATCTTACTTAGCAAAAAAAAAAATTACAGATCTGAAAAAAATAGAGAGAAGGGGAAGAAGGAAAGAGAAGAAAAAAAAGATGATAGATGTAAACTGAGGAAAGGAAGAGAAGAAAAGGGAAACAATGATCTATTCTTCGATTCGGAAAAGATCAGCTCCATAAGGGAGATCTGTGGAAGAGAAGAAGTGATGATTTTTATTTGTTTTGAACATAAAAACAGAGATCTATGTTATATTAAATAAAATTTACTAAGTATAAAAAGTACATGTAATTGTTCTGGACCACACACATGGATTAGAGAGTCTAGGATTAAAGTATTAGATATATAATTAACAGTATATTTAATACATATATATATAAATATATTGAAACACAAGAAGAATCTAACTTCGTCTTTCACGGAAATTCATCGGTAAATGATTTACTTTATTACTGTCTATTCTCCGATGAAAAGTCCGACCACGCACCGAGAAATCTTGTATACCGGTATAATCCGAGAATATTTCGAGAACTTGAAAGACAACTTTCCGATAAACTTTTTTTGTCGGAAATTTCCTATAACTTTCCGTTGAATTTATTAAGTCATTGTTATTTTCTCGGTTAACTGTCGCAGATTTTCTGATAACTCAGTTTCTCGGGAAATTTTGTCGGAGTTCATGACGTTTTCTTGTAGTGNTTGTATACCGGTATAATCCGAGAATATTTCGAGAACTTGAAAGACAACTTTCCGATAAACTTTTTTTGTCGGAAATTTCCTATAACTTTCCGTTGAATTTATTAAGTCATTGTTATTTTCTCGGTTAACTGTCGCAGATTTTCTGATAACTCAGTTTCTCGGGAAATTTTGTCGGAGTTCATGACGTTTTCTTGTAGTGAGGGGAGAGTTTTGGGGGTTTACGGTTTAAATATTCAAAAATAGAAAATAAAATTTGAAAATTAGTTTTTAAAAGCATTTTCGAATTTCAAAAAGAAAATTAAAAAAAAATATTTAAAAAATTAAAAAACTTATAAAAAGTGTGAATCTAAAAACATATAATCCAAAAATATTAATTAATTTTTTTATTTTATATTTATTTATTATTTACATATTTATAAAGTGAGGGACATAAAAAATTTTACCTCTTTAATTAAACGTTTTGATCATTTTCTTTCTTAAGTGTTCTTTTTATGACAAAAACTAAAAAAAATGTTATTTGAGAGGATTGCCCAAAAATCAAACATGCCTCAGAATAGTAAAAAGGTAACTTCTTGTAATGCTTCTTGATAGCTTCATCATCAGCTTTTCTTTTTCTATTGATTTATCCTAGTTGCATACATCAAAACTTGTTTGAAACAACCAAGTTCCTCTCCCCATATCAATTCCTCTTCTATCTTCAAAACTTGATAAATACAGAGGGAAAACAGAATATACTCTCTTTCATTACTACATTGATTTGACCCATATGTGCTCTATCAAACTCAATGTTATTGAAAGATATTCTGAACTCGAACAATATCCGTAAACATAGTGAAACATAACACCAATTTTCATATTATTTTAAACCGATTCTTAAACAAGGATTACATATTAACTAAACTAGTTACAAAAACCATTATAAGGGACACAAAGTCTCCTTTAACCATCCTAACTTGTTAATCAAGTTGTCAATGGTAAAGTTTTGAGCATCCTCCTCCGCCATCACTGGGTTAAACCCAACCCAAGTAACCCAGTTTCTCATGACTGAACCGGGTCCATAGTTTTGGTATTCACTGAGGTTCACCATTGGAGGTGGAAGATTTATTGATCTGTTCCAAGAAACCTACCATTTAGGATCAATCAAATGCCCGAGTTTTGTTTCCATAACCACCACTGTGGCGTGGCTCTTTCGAGGACTGCCTAGATACGCAACTACAATAAACTCTTCCCCCTCATACACCAAGATCTTGCTACTTATAATGGAGAAACCATAGTTCTCATTTTGTTCCTCTGCACCTTGAGTTGTGACCGTCACAACTCGATGCAAAATAGGGTCTTGTGTCCGGATTGTACACATATGGAACACGGCTGCAGCGAAGAAGTCAACCGTGCCTAAGATGTCACATTCTCTGTAGAGCTGCTCACCTACGTGCGCATAGTGTGTGTCCTGATAGCCATCAAATGCACATCTGAATAGGACTGGATGATTGGACTTGGAGTAAGGGCCACGGCTAGGAACTTCTCCGGTCAAGTGGTGTTTACAAACTTGATATCTCTAGCGATGAAATTTTCCAAAAGAACAGCTTCACCAAAACAAAAACCACAAAACATGAGAACAAAGATTCAATGTTTAAACATGAGAACAAAGATTAAGCAAAGATGTTGAATCGGATTTTGTTATTGTTTGTCACTGACGCCACAACTTCTGATATTTTCTTGAACTCTCCACTACCATCTACAGTAACAGTGGCATGAGGTGTTGAAAGTCAATCTCAAAAGTTTTGGCGTCAGTGCCAAACAACAACAAAATCGGATTCAACATCTTTGTTCAATAAGATATTTACTATGAGAATCTATGTTATAATACCAAAGAGAAAAGACAATGTGCTGATCTATGGAGAAGGGATGACAAATACGGTGATCTCCATCAATCGAGCAGTTTAGAGTATCCTAAGTCCACAACAGCTGCCACAACAACATTTTGTAAGTACTTTAGTTTCATTGTAATCATTCAGTCTCTATTTTAATGTTTTGTGTTTTATTGAAGTTGTCTTGTGCAAGTTGTATGGTCAGAAATATGAATAATGTAGTGAATTTGGACATGGTTTAGTTTTTAACTCTCTTTCTCTCCTCTCTTGAATATTATATTGTACCATGTGAATATGTTCAGGGGTATAAGATAAACTTTTATAAAGGTAAAAACAAGCAAAACAAAAGTAAAAAACAAACAAATTTGTAGAAAAAGAAAGAAAAAAATAAGCAAAAATAGAGAATGTATAAACAATCAAATTATATATATATAGATATTATATGTGTGTATATATATATATATATATATGTGTAGTAACTCATAACATTTATGTATTAATCTATTTGACTATAATGTTAGAAGCCCAAAGCTATAGTGTTACATCAAATATTGTGGTGAATATCACCAATATATAATTGTATCAGCATAAAGTTATAATTCATCTCACTACTTTTATTTTGGTTGTGTAATGCAAAATAGCAACTATTCTAATTTATATCCTCTAACCTCTATACATAATTACCACCACATACTAACTAATCTCTCATTTGATATCGTGATTCCATTGCTAAATATACTCATAGAGAAAGTTAATATGTTATTAGCATAGATCTATTTAAAAAAAAAAACAATCACTATTATTATATATCTTATTAAATAGAGAAAGATAATATGTTATTAGCATAGATCTATTTAAAAACCAATCACTATTATTGTCTATCTTATTAAATAAGAAACATTAAGTTTTTAAATTAAATGCATCTTTCTACTTTATAGTTAAACTTACATTAAATCACTAATATTCTTTTCTTTATACTATTATTCATATTTCCAAACAATATACTATTTTCTTTACACTACTATCCATGTTTCCAAATAATATTATAATTAATCTTGTGTCCAAACAATAAAAAAATATTAGCTCTCATCTTTTTTATAATGTCTAACAATTTCCTTTCAAGTTATTTAGATAAAATTAAATAATTTAATATTTCAAATAATTTATAAAAACTAAGATGCACATTGAAATCCTTCTATAACACGATTAAGAATTACAAGATTTATTTTATTTAAAATTCAAATTGAGCTATTGGCTTGATATTCATGTTTATTTTCAGTGATATCGTCACATCAATAATCCTGAGAGGTATTCGAGTGCCAGATCTATACATAAATTGGCTGGGAGCTTGTGTTACAGTTGAAATAGAGAATCTGCATAATAGTTAAAATCTTGCAAAGAAATAGTGAAGAAAAAAAAACTTTCTAGTCCTTGTACTGTGTCAGTGCTACTTAGTCAATCATCAATAGAAACTCTAACAGGATTTTCCTTTTGAAACCATATCACCAAACATAAAGTTTGCTGATGAAACATTCTGATGAAACTAAATGGATAATACAACATTAGCCTAAAACGACATGGAACTGATCAGATCGATAAGGATTTTGGAATTTGTTGATACTATTGCTGTTTTTTCTTGCCATATATTGTGTCATGAGTTTGGGCCGTCTGGATGTGTTTACAGGTCCAATAGACTCAGGGCTTATACGCCCAATTTTTTTTTGTATTTATCTGTTTAACTTAAACCAGGTCTATCTGTGACAACAGCGAAGAAGAAGACAAGGGCATAACCCCATTTGGAGTTGGATAAGTGGCAATAAATAAGGTTATTTGTAAAAGTGATATGCACTCTTTTTCATAATTATAGTCTACTATTTTCGAAACTCTTTGCGAGAAATACTATCTTATAAACTTTATAGTGGAACCTTTTTATATTTAATTTTGATTTTTAATATTTTTAATTAGTAACATAATTTTATATATTGTTATAACCAATGTTTTTAAACCCAATCCAATTACTGAACCAAACAATTTTCCAAGTTACCGAATTACTGGATCGATTGTGGATAACCACGTATCAATAGATTAATTAATTTAATATATAGTTATATATTATCTATTTCAAATATTAGATAAATTTACATTTCTTAAAAAAAAGGAAATTTTTTTAATATGATTTATTATTTTTATTGTCATTTTCATTTCGCATAAAAATATTTTAAATTATTTAAGAAAACTTTTGTAAGAAATTAGGATTTAAGCATAACAAAACCTAAATCTCATAAGTTTTTGATTTCTATCATTGTTCATTAGATTTTTTTAGGAGGCATAATGAAATATTTATCAAAATCTAAATACCACATTAAATTATTTAGTCGATATTATATATGGTTTTATAAAATTGAATAAGATCAATGAATTTTATACAAAAAAAAAAAATATTTGAAAACATTTACAATCAAGAAAAAGAAAATCAAAGCATGTGATTCACGAAAAGAAAAGAAAAAAAACAAAATTAATATGTTAGAAAGTAAAACCTAGAAGGTTATTCACTATAAAAACACAATTAGCAATAGATTTAAAAGAAAGTTCAAGGAGATATAGAATATATATGTAATAGCAAATGAAAAGATAATTTTATAAGAATACTAAAAACTGAAAGTAAACCCGAATTTCTGTTTTTGGGGATACAAACAATGTTGAATAAAATAGTTAAAAATCGAAGAAAAACTAAATAAAAATTATTTATTGGTTCATCTGATGGTTCAACCCACAGTCGGATCAACGCGTTTAAGGGTTTTTATCGGATTTTATCTGATTTTTAATTAGTGGATATTTCTTAAAATCCAAACCGGATTACTTATCGAGTCACCGGGTTTGGCATTTCGACCACAAATCCGGAACGAGCGTGAAAACACTGATTATAACTTATAATTTTGTTTCGTACGCGACTTTTGCTAGTGGCGGAGCCATAAAAATTATCTACTGGGATCAAGTTTCTTTTTTTAAATATAATATCAAATATACTTTATATGTACTGATATTCAGATATTTTAATTTCAATTTTTCTTATAATTTAAATTTATTTAATTAAATAATAAAGTTTAAAAGAGTTTAGAAATTAAAGCATTATCTAATAAAGTTGAAATAAAAAATTAAAAATTAAACTATAAATATAAAGAATAAATTTATCTCTGAATTTACATTACTTTATGTTCTTTGATATATGATCTATAGGGATTAAGGTATATTAGAAAACATCTGACCAAAATCTTATTTAGTTTTAGTGAACCATAAAACACGAAAACAAGATTATATTGGCAAAAAGGAAACCTAAACGTAAGTTAATAATAACTAGTGAAAATTCATAAATGAATTATTATTTTATTTAATTGAGTGGGTTAAGCTAAAATTGAACCCAAAATTAACATTTAGTCCGAAACTTAACCTAAAGTGATGATTAATGTGTTTAGTTATGTTTGTGTTTCACGTTTTTTTTTCTTTGTAAGATCATCTGATTTTTTTTTTAATGAGGCCACAAAATAATTTTAATACAAAAACACATAAACTTTAAAAATATGTGAGGTCATCTGATCTCACTCTCACTATACTGGCTCCGCCTCTGCTATTTACCCTCCCTATTTAATTATAAAAGTTTACTTTTATACATCAAGCTTTTCTTTAACCTCAAGCATGCTAATCTTTTGTGTCTCATTCCAATCTCTTAAAATGACCCCGAAAAGTGTTCTGTTAATACGACTAAAAAGTGTTCTGTTAATAATAATATGAATCAGGACTACTCACAAATAGTTTAAGATGTGTCACTAAGTGGCCTTTTTGCACACCAGTAGACAAGTGTATATGCTTGAAAAATAAGATTAGGCTACCTAATGCTTCCATTAAAGTACTTATTACACTAGATCATATTTTGGTATAAATAACCTAACAAAATTCTAAACAATCCCTCTTCTTTTTGTCAGTAATCGATATATGGACCTGGTGCTTATCCTTACACAAAAGAGCACAAAAGGGCACAAAAAGTACCTTACAAAAGTTTAAATATATTGGGCCGTTGTGTCATCTTAATTGGATTTGTGACGGATGATGTACACTTAGGGACAAAAGTGTTACTTAATTCATGGTTTAAAACACTTACGTCAGAAAGTGTCCTAAATTTGTTAATTTAAACAATGAAACTCTTGGACTAACGCAATCTACATGAAAAAGTAACACGAGGTTGAAGTGTCAATGTTAGTATTTTGCGTACGAGAGTTACTACTTACCAATATCATGAAGCGCGATGTATAACCATTTTAAAATCAGTAATTAGGTTTTGAACTTTAGATTTAAATAAATCAAGATACATAGTTAAGATTTGAGACAGATAGTTATAGGATAAAAAATACTAGTTTAGGATAGAATCATAGAACTATGGGAGAAAAAAAATCATATACGAATGATGAACTAATTAATAACGTGTTACCTGGTATACCAAAAGCGTCTATTTTATATGTTCAAAATGTATTTTTCTTATCACTTATCTCATCAAATAATATACTTCAACTTGATGTTTAGTATCATTTCGGTAATCCGTCAGCCACGAGAAAAGTTCAACATGCCAAAGTTATATTACTCCATTAAAGTGTATAAAATAATACGACGAAACGAAAACCTAATTTTATAGTTTACACGATTAAAGAAAGAAACTGCAATATAAATTTAAGACAGAAACAAAAGGGTAATGATGTCTGACGCTTATCCGCCTAATTAGACCATGTGCAATGGGGGGTACGTGCGAATCCTTAGCTGCACCCCCGATGGATTAAGCATTATATTAATAATATTTTAGCCTAAATCACTAAGGATCAATACGTAAATAAGGATTTATTTTGGTTGATCCTTAGGTACGTGGCAGTGTGTGATTCGATGGGTAGGCTTTTGTGTTTCGTATAGCAAAAAAAAAAAGTCATTTTGGACGGAAATCCAGAAAAAAAAAAGTTCTCAGATGAAAAGGCGATTTTGGTTTCGAACGATTTTGGGATCTTCTCGTTTGTTCTTACAATCGAGTTACAATCAACTTAAATCGGATCTATAACTTGGATTCTTGAAGAAAGCTTTGTCTCTTCTTCTATCTCTTAATTCATTTACGGATCAGAGGGTTTGAAAAGTCGAAACCTTTATCAACTTTTAACTTGCTCTGTTTCATGGAATCTGACTTCCCAATTCGACTTTGTTTTTGCTGAGATGGCGAGAAGTAGATCGATAAGTGGCTCTGGGATATGGAAATATTTGAATCCTGCGTATTACCTCAGAAGGCCGAGACGTTTGGCTTTGCTTTTCATTGTGTTCCTCTCTGTTTCTATGGTGTTCCTCTTGACAGAACTATGTATCTCTTTGTCTAAGAGACAGTTATAGTCTCATAGGTTGTTGATAAGCATAATCCAATCATATGAAGTAGCTTATGTTTTGTTTCTTCATGGAATCTGGACAGGACTCTGAATCTCTCTAAGTTTAAGAGGATGTTCTAGAATCATAGGTTGTAGATAAGCATTTAGATATTTTTGGAGTCTTTATCATGGAAGATAGTGCCTTGCTAGAAAAGAGCTGCGATTGATCATTTATGGGCTCAATTCATCAAAGAAACAATGTGCTTTTGTTGATTTGCTTGACTTAGCTAAAAGTGATGATACTTTTGGAAGTGGATGATTCTTTTGTCATCTTGTACTGCTGCTGTTTAACAAGTCTTCTGTCTTGCAGGTTAAAGTTATTAAGTTAAAGAAGTTTTACGGCTGGAACAGATGGTAAGATATGACATTTTCTTCTCTTACTCTATAGCATGTTAATGATTTCTTTGGTCAACTTAGACCTCTGTTTCCGAATTTCCTTCATCATCATGTTGCACTGTCGTTATATTTTTCTGGAAATACATTGTGTTATATGGATTCTGGGTCGCTTAAGACATACTAAATCTTCAGGACTGTAGAAAGGTGTGATGGTTTTCACATGCTTAGCTAACTAACTATATTTTATGCTAGTTAGAAGAGCTTAAAGGTGTTGGCGATGGTAAATCTTTGATGACTCAGAAGGATGTTCCAGAAGATCCTGTTGTTATCAAGAGAAGGCAGAAAGTAAAAGAGGCAGTGATCCATGCTTGGAGCTCATACGAGAAGTATGCATGGAGAAAAGATGAGCTTCAGGTACAAATGAATGTTCACCCTTGCATACATATAATCTAGTGAAAGAATATATACAAATCAATATTATTTTTTAGTTCTTAAGAATTCTAAATTGGAAAACACCATTGGACATAAAATTTTGATTAGAGTCCTTAACTATTCAAAAAACAAAATTTAATACTTTAATAATACTAAGGACTCTAATTAGAGTAACACCATTGTGCATGCTCTTAAGACCTATAACCTGTGATACAAACACAATGCACTCTTCGTCGACTTCAACTCCATTTACGAAACCAAAATTTTAAATTTATTTGATTATCACAAAATAGTTAATCATAGTGTAATGATACACTTCAAAAAAGAATTATAACTCTTCGTGACGAGATATATCCGCATATATACATATTGCATGTATATGTATATTAAAATATCAATGCACCTAAAAATTATCTAGTTGGTGTACTAGCTTATAAGTATTAATTTTGTATGTGGTCGCTGGTAGTATGTGATTGTATATGTACACCAAGAAAAGTGATTATATTTAATCTAATATCCAGAAGTAGAACGAAATCTTATTTGATATGTTCTTTTTTTTGTAAAAAAAACATATCAAATCAGATTTCTATGTTATTATTGCTATATTAAATTTTTATTGATAGTTGTTTTATTTATGAGGATTTCACATTTCTCTACACATATAAATAGTATACATACTGCTGACTAATTACTATAATATATAATATCTATGTAGACAACTAGTCACCAGTTATGTATATACGTACATATATATATATATATATATATATATATATATATATATATATATATATATATATATATATATATATATGTGTGTGTGTGTGACATGCGCACACGAGGAAATACAATCCAAAATGCAAAATCGATAGAGCAACTTCTCAAGCTACCTAGAGCCCCATAAATGTAGTTAATTATAGGGATATCACAGTCTAGTTAAATTATAAATGTAGTATTATGCTTATATTCCAAAGATTCTTGTTAGGATTTCACATTAAACATGTGGAGGAAGACCTCAATCGTTATCGATATACATATATATATAGCTATTCACACATCAATATATACAAGAGAAAACAATATAAATATAACTCGAGATAAAATGTATATTTAAAAATTGAAGATTCAAACATATAATGGGACCAACTTTCTACTAAAACACGTGGAAACTTAATAACGTGATAAGAATTTAATACTTTGAACATTGAATAACTACATAAACGAAAGTAGACAATCATTAAGTTGACTTAAATTAATCACAAACGAATAGAGTAAATAAATAACTTCCGCAAATCGGTTTAGTATATATAACCCCATGTTTCAGCCCATGTCGACCAAATCAAAGCATACCAAAAAAAAAAAAAAAAATCGAATCATTGTCTCGATATATATATATATGCAAATATACCGACGACCTTACGAGACAAAAGCTTGGCAGAACCGAATCTGTCCGGCGGAAACTATGGTGAAGATTCATCCCGGCACCGGAGAAGAGACAAGGTCGCCGTACTTGACGACGGAGAAAGAGAGTTTCACGATTTGGATGAAGTCATTAGTGTTCAACACTAATGGCTGCACAGTCTTTGATTCGAAAGGAAATATAATTTATCGTGTCGATAATTATAATTCTAAGAGCTGCCGTGAAGTTTACCTAATGGACTTACATGGTCATGTCTTATTGACCTTACGTAGACAGGTAAACACACGTACCAAAGTTATTTTCATGCAAGTTTCTAAGAGCATGATTAATCCGGATTCTTAAGGCGGGGTTCTTAGCAGAAGTTAAGAAACTGTTTTTTAACTTTTAACTAAAAACGCTAAGAACTGGTTCTTAAATAACGATTTTAAGAATCGATTTTTAGCGTTTTTAGTTAAAAATTAAGAAACCGTTTCTTAACTTCCGCTAATAACCCGTCTTAAGAATCCTAGGTTAATCATGGTCTAACGTTTTTATTAACTTTGAGACTAATTAAGTTTTTTTTTTTATGTTTGTAGAAGTTTGGATTATTCAAGACATGGGAAGGATACAGATCAACCTCGGGGACGGCTGAATCAACAACGAAGTTAGAATATTTTCGAGTGAAAAATAATATTTTCAAGATTCCGAGTAAAGATTCATCTTCTTCGTATAGAGTCATAACGGGGTCGTGTAGAAACGATGAACAATATTGTTATAAGATGGTAACTCGGGGATCAAGTTTAGGAATCGAGGAGAGTTGTGGAAGACTTGTGGCGGAAGTGAAGAGAAAACAATCGAGGAATGGTTTGGTGTTAGGAGATGATGTTTTGACGATGATGGTTGAGTCACAAGTTGATCACTCTTTCATCATCGGACTTGTTTTAACACATAGTCTTATCAACTGTAAACTGTAATAAAATTAAGGGGAAAACTTTGTCGAATAGTTTATAGTTAATCACTAACTGATGGTGTTTTTGGGTTGGAATTTTGAGTGAATTTTTATTTTACGACAAACTTTTCGCTCCATCAGATTAGTTTTTTTGGTAACTTTCACAAACTTTTGTCGTTTTTTGCTAATGAAATACAACTGATGTATGATACTTGTAAGATATATAAAAGTTTCAATAAAGTGAGTGTAGGCTCTCTTTTATTCATTTAAATGTTTAAGAGTATAAAGGTGGAGCCAAATCAACTATGCCCAGTTTATGACACCCCTTAAACATAATTCTAGATCCGGCACTGGAGCCAATTATAATAATTCAAGGTGGATGGATATGATAGATCATGGATTTCAAATTTTAAATGTTAAGGGTAATTGGCGAAGAAAGTTTAACGTGGCTGCTGAGAAATTTCCATAGATCTATATAGAGCGCATTAAAGTATATGATTAATTAAGTAGAAGACTATACTCCCAATTAATAATCTTTATTTTCGAATAAGGGCTAAAAACTATCTCGGTGGGATTTGATTCGATTTCCTAGGAGAAGATCTGTATCGTTCATTTTCGTTAAACACAAAAACGTCGCTGCACCATACCGAATCAAATAATCATTTTCTTTGGCTCAATCCAGTATTTTGTATGTGCAGACATGCAGTCATAACTTTTCTGTTCCAAAAAAACAGTTCACTTATTATCTTTTTCATAAACAAGAAAAAGTAAAAATTAATATATTCCATTCTGTTAAACATATATATATTGTTGGTCCGTAAATAAGAAAGTCATTTCAGAAAAAAAAAAATCCTTCATATAAATGTTATTATTTCTTTTCCGTAAAATATTTGTCATATTATAAAACGTGAATGCACATCTAAATCAAACTAGCAATTGCTAACGTTAACTCTTTAAATAAGTAACTGAGCCAGAGAACTTCGTATGCATAGAGATTAGAGAATCGGACACAACGATATCACGATCAGCGCTTGACTTGAGACAAATGCAATGAAACTGTGAGCTAAAGTACGAAAGCCTCCCGTTAAAAGGAGAAAGCTTTGATGACACAAAGGAAGGATCGCTGTGAAGCCATTAGTGCCTAAAGTAAGAATATTCTGTGCGTACAGTCTCAGTGATTCATCTTGGAGCTGTCTAGACACCAATTACTTCAGCTTATTGCCGAGCTCCTAGCTTAGGCGGGAAGAGAAATATCTTGCCATTTATATGACGGTTGAATACTATGATTATGACTAACTAATTATCTAATGTAATAGCGCCTTTGATCTATTTAGTGTTCCAACTAACGAATGCAGCATGGCCGCCTGATCACTGATGGATAAAGTGTTTTGATTTCTAAAGTGATTCCGAGTGTGTATGTTTTTGGGTAAATATATTTCATTTGTAATGTGGGCTTTTCATGAGGCTTGTAAAGCTCTAAGCCCATTCACTTTCATTTTCATGATATTTAATTTTACTTTTAGGTGAGTTGGTGGACAGGACAATATACTATCACTTCATTATTGGTTTGACCACTCAGGTTACTGAGTTCGCTCGCAATTTGTCTATGGCATACAAATGAATAAAAATCAATACAGTTTTTTTTTTTTCTTTTGTCTTTTAACTCTATTATACGTGTGTAGTTCACGTGTGTTGGTGTTTGTAGTTTACTGCTAGTAGTGGCAGACACCAAAATTTTGTTAAACGAAGACTTGAGATTGGATATTCGTCTGGGAGCTTTCTAGATTTACAGCCATCTGAAATAAATGCAGATCATCTACCAACCAAAAACAAAAAATCAAAATAGTTTCATTGCTTTTTCTAGAAAAGATAGACTAAAGATGTCATTAATAATTTCAAATTTTTTAGTGCGTATACTTTATTTAATAATGAAACAAAAAAAATTGCAGGATATGGGTGCTTTCAGAAGTTAACATCATCTTCTGTTTCGTGAGATCAGCTAGGAGCTTTGTCTTGATCGAGTCAAAATAAAATGGTCCTACTTCCTTATGCATTAACTTTATCTTTGTACATATCGATTACGTGTATTAATGTTGTCCATCTTCTCTTCTCCCTCATATAAATTCGAGGAAACATAATCGATCAAAAGAAGTAGTTTACTGTTAAGCGATTATAAGAGGCACCAGATAATATGGATTAGGATACTTGATACGCAATTAGCAAACAGTAAACAACAGTCAACAGATGATGAGTTTCACAGTAAAAATTTGTATTAAGATGTGCGTCAAGTGTGTGGTACAAAGAGGTAGTACCCAGACAACGCAGACCTTGTCAATTTGTTCATCAACTTGTCTTTCTTTTATATCTTTTCGAGTCTCAATAAACTTACTGTCACACAAACGCACGTATATATAATGATCGCAATTTTTTTTTGTATTTCCAGATATTTGCTGTCACTCCATGATGATATATGATATCGTCTAGGTATGGGGTTCATTTATTTTTATTTGCAACATATTATGAAAAGTCCAACCAATCTCGTCGACTCTAACACGTATATAATATTATTACTTCCTTGAAATTGGCAAGCATATGGGAATTTGTATACAGTTTATATATTTCAAACTACAGGCTGGCATGACCAAAATTAGAAGTATACATATCTATGAAAACGTAACGTATATATATGTGCATTATAATTTATACGTGAAAGATGTCATGTACGAGTGTAATATGAGTTTCGTTTTCCTCTCAAATTTTACTAATTATAGCAGTATCGATATAAAGTTTGCTGTTGCTTGTTAAACTTTGAAATATCACATTTTAACGCCTAGAACGAATTACTGATTCTTTTTATAGGGTTTTCTACTCACTTTGCTTTGAAACTGAGAAGACTTGAAAATGATTCAAGATTGTGTTAATGAAACTAATGACGAAGAGACTTTGATAGTGGAATTAACGACGTAAATTAAGCGAATGTAACAAGTAAATTCAATGTTGATAACATATTGTAGTCTCGTTTTACAGCCCAATAACACACATTTTCCTATAAGAACGTCTTCATTCAAAAAAAAAACGTCTTCATCCCCATTTAATATTTTGTTCTAGAATATAGTAGAAATTAAGTAATGAACAAAAAATTAAAAAATATTACTCTATTTATGGTATAATGTTTTATTTTTGTGTTCACTATTTCATAATTTAGAATAAAATTTGAAGTGAGAATAGAGATGTTCAAAAAGAGTTTGTTTTTCTGTTTAATGAACCGTTCTGTTTAATTCTTGCTTTTTCGGTTATTGCCGGCATATATGTCAATCTCTAGGTTTTTCTTTTATCAGATAATAATATTATAATTGAATGGTGCATGCACCAAACACAGTGCTAATAGTAACACATTTCAAAAGAAAATTGAGAAAAACACTTTTCAATTTTCATGGCCTCCTTTATTTACCATTGTTACACGGTTACACTTTTGACGTCTCTTTGACACCTTTCTTCAAGATTCTACAACATGTTTTTTTCCCTTTTACCCTAACCTTTTATTTGATATGTACTATTATTTACGTCACTGTTCTTATTTTCTTAGCACAGTCATGCGGACGTAGATACTAACAAAATGATGTTACAAGAGAATGAGAGATAGCGTTTTTTTTTGACAACGAATGAGAGATAGCGCTAACAATGATCTAACACATCAAACAATCCAAAAGAGAGTTTAGCAAAAAAAAAAAAAAATCCAAACGACATACATTTTTGAACTAGTATTTATATCTAAAATGAAAACTCAAGCATTCTAATTTGTTATCAAACTCAGACTTTATTTTAATAGAAAACGAAAATTATATAGCCAAACTGATTTCTTACTTTTGGTTAGAATATTTATCTAATTTCATATGATGTATTTTCTTTTACTTTTCGCAAGTATCATGAAAGTCCTCTACAATTTGTCATCACATCAAAGTGGAAGGTATACTGGTTCATGAGAAAATTAGAACTCTAGGAAATTTTGTTTTCAGTTTCAATGAGATGCAACCTACCATATACTAACCTTTTGAAATAGCACATTAATTCACTCTAGACGACTTTTTGAATAACGACTCAATTATAATATTTGGTTTATATTTGTGGAACCACTTTGGTCTACTATCTGAATATGCTATATAAATTCAACTCCTATATTTTCTGTGAAAACACAATCAGTAAATTTTATTTAACAAATTATTGTACCATCCATTTTTTTTTTTGTTGAAACAAATATGAAGAAGTTAAAACTCAATCCAATTACTCTTTTTATAGTTATGGTGTCAGATTTTTTTCATATTTGGCTAAAAAACGGCTCAGTATATTAAATTTTAAAATCTTTTGAATGAAATTATGTAAAAGTTACATAATTAGTTTCATTGTCAAGGTCATTTCATGATTATCTTCCACAATATAATGATTAAACAATAGAATCTACACCAATTATAGTTTTTTATTTATGAGCAGTGCCGGGTTTGACCCAAAACCCATGATACATTGGAATGGAGTCTAGTTTGTGATTTTATTTTATTGCAAAAAAAATTATAAACTGTATAAAAATTTTATACTTTTGCAGATTTAGTTAGGATAAAATATCTAAACATATCAAATTAATAAATTTTATATTAATAAATCAATTAAGAAAATGTAAAATACATATACTAAAAAAAATAAAAGTCTTTTTAATCATTATTCATTTTCAAAAGTATATAACTATTATAATAAATTAAATTTTTTACTAAAAAAAACAGATATATATATATATATATATATATATATATATATATATATATATATATATATATATATATATATGCTATTTTTGAATAGGGTCCGGCAAAACTCAGGACCAGTACTGTTTATGAGCTTATTATAAGCAACAAATTGTAAATGATTTATATCCACCAACAAAAGGATGGGAAATTACAATCAACTTAAACTAAAATGATTTTTTACTCAAAATGGCATTAGTGTAGAACAACTCCCACAATAAGGGTACAATAGTAAGTAATCAACCTATATAATATACACACGCACCGTTCTCTATCTTTCTAGAGAGTAATAAAGAGAGAAATTAAAAGAGAACCCCCAAAGAAGCTATTATTTATACTTTCGCCGCAAAAGTGTATCTTTTTGAACATTTAACACCCTTACGCCATGTGTGGAGGAGCAATAATCTCCGATTTCATCCCTCCGCCGAGTTCCCGCCGCGTCACGAGCGAGTTCCTCTGGCCGGATCTGAAGAAGAAGAACAAAGGGAAAGCTTCGATTAAGAGATCGAAATCGAGTTTCTTCGATCTGGACGATGAATTCGAGGCTGATTTTCTAGGGTTTGATGATGATGACGCGTCTTTTGACTGCGAAGACGATTTCGATGTCGATGATGATGACGATGATGTCTTCGTTAAAGTTAAGCCCTTTGTCTTCACCGCGACCACCAAGCCCGTAGCTTTCGCCTCCACTGGTAAAAAATATATTTGGGATTTGATTCGAATTCTCACTTTTACGGATTGGGTTTCACGAAAGTTCGTTTCTTTTCGCTAATTCAATAGGAAAGTTGAGATCTTTGATTTGCGATTCTCTTAAATTTAATTGCTTTTTTTTTATTAGGGTTTATCGATCTAAGGGCTTGTTTGACTTTTTATATGATGAATTTTAAAGATCATGAAATGATTTATGTTTTGTTTCTTAGAGGGTTTTGCTATGTTGAATATCTACCAGTTTTATGATTGATTGATATTTGTGTGTTCTGACTCTATTAGGTTCAGTTTTTAGCAACAAAAAAAAACATAAGACTCTAATTAGTTGTTGTTTTGAAAGAATTTGGATGTTGTTGATATGATTTGTTTTGTTACCATGTTAATTATAGACCAGCTTACCTGGATTTACTATGTTGAATATCTACCAGTTTTAGGAATGATCATATGATTGATTAATTGATATTGTGTGTTCTGACTTTATTAGGTTCAGTTTCTAGACAAAAAAAAAAACCATAGAGACTAATTAATTGTTGTTTTGAAAGAATTTGGATGTTGTTGATATGATTTGTTTTGTTACCATGTTGATTATAGACCAGCTTACTGGGATTTTGGAGTTGGCCTATGTCCAAATCCAATAGAGAGATCAGTTTTGATTGATATTGTGTGTTTTTGACTCCATTAGGTTCAGTTTCTAGCAAGAAGACCATAGAGTCCGGTGGGCAAGCTGAGAAATCTGCTAAGAGAAAGAGAAAGAATCAGTACAGGGGGATTAGGCAGCGTCCTTGGGGGAAATGGGCTGCTGAGATTCGTGATCCAAGAAAAGGCTCCAGGGAATGGCTTGGAACGTTCGACACTGCTGAGGAGGCAGCAAGAGCTTATGATGCAGCTGCACGTAGAATCCGTGGTAGTAAAGCTAAGGTGAATTTCCCAGAGGAGAACAACAACAACGTCTCCCAGAAACGCACTTCTGCTAAGAAGCCAGTGGCTAAACCAAACCAGATTCCGACTATGGTTCAGCAGCCAACGAATAATCTGAGTCAGTACTGTAACAACTCTTTTAATGATGTGAGTTTCATGGAAGAGAAGCCTCAGATGTATAACAATCAGTTTGGTAACAATGGATACCAGTATTTCAGTTCTGATCAGGGTAGTAACTCATTAGACTGCTCTGAGTTTGGGTGGAGTGATCACGGTCCTAAGACGCCTGAGATCTCTTCAATGGTAGTCAGTAATAACCAAGCTCTGTTCACTGAAGAAACCAATGCGGCCAAGAAGCTCAAACTCAGCTCTGATGATCAGTCTGATGATCTGATGGCATACCTTGACAATGCCTTGTGGGAATCTCCATCTCCATTAGAAGTGGAAGCCATGCTGGGTGTAGATGCTGCCGCTGTGACTCAGGGAGAGGAGAACCAGATGGACCTGTGGAGCTTAGATGATATCAATTACATGCTGGAAGGAGTCTTCTGAAGTGATTGATGGCTGCCTAGTTTGTAAATAAAGCTATGTGTGTGTTGGTGAGTTTCAAGTCCATTGGTGGATTCATTCTTGTGATCAGTTGTGAAGACAAACAGTCTTAACTTGGGTTTGTTAATCTCACGGTCTGGTTTTTGTTTTTTCTTGTTTTACAGGATTTTGCTGTTGAAGGGGGGAATGGTACAAGTCACACCTGGAGCTTATTTTATCATTTATAGATGTGTCTCTTTAAAATTTCTGAAATAAAAGGGGTGATGAAGTAAATAGAGGTATAACTTTCTATCTTAATGAGTCTTCTTCCTTCAGTTTTTTTTTCTTTCTTTCTTTGACAATTTATCAAATCTTCTGAGCTCTGTTTTTGATCTTTCTTTAATAGGAGCGGTATCATCACCCTCCCTCGCAAGTGTTTTGTTTTGTACCCCCAAACTTATTTAACATTATATAATGAAAACTGTTTTGAAGCTCTGTAATGTGAATCTTTCTCTGCCTAATAAGCCGTTACTTCGTTGATGTAATCTTTTGCTTAAAATATATAAGATAAATTTAGAGACAATCTCAAAATTTGACAAAATTTGAATTAGCTCAGTAGGCCTAAATTTCAGTAACTACTCCGTTTACATCGGTTGTCCAAAAAACAAAAAATCCATTTACATCATGACAATTACTTTTCCATTGACCAACGGGGTACCTTGAGAACCAAGAAACTAATATATATTGCTTTCAGTTCAGTTTTCAAGCATAATTTTATACAAAGATTGACTGACTAATTCAGTTATATTTGTTTTTGTAGTTCCCTCCCATATAATAATCGTAGTTAGACTATTCAACGAAGAAATTTTGTAATTTAATCTTACAAAATCAAAGGCCAAATTGTCCAGAGACGTCTGAATATATAATTTCTGTTTGATTTTTTTTTTCTAGCTGGCTTTTTGATTCACTATAACATATACAAACAAAGGTGTAGTAAACTAAGCTCAATACAAGTAAGTCTATGAAGAAAGCCATTGTGTCTAAATTTAGAAGCAAAGTATAAATATCTCTCTTGAGGAAAGAGTTACCGTTTCTTTGTTCGCGTGCATGCATCTTGCTTGCACCAGACCCCAAGTTTGAGGGGAGTATTGAACCCTACGAAAAGCCCATTTTGTGATACAACATAAGTTCCTTAAGAGAAATATTTATACTAGTGCTTCTAAACCTAGACACATGTAGTGGTGGGCACAGATCGAATATCCGGGTTTTTAAGGTATTTATGATTTGCTTCGAATGTAACGACTATCTAATTTTGGTATTTGCTTTGCTTCGGAAAAATATGGATATCCAGAAAAATGGATATCCGGAAAATAAATAGATATTTACGGATATTTACGAATATTTACGGATGTCTCATCCATTTTGATTAATACAAATAATCTTAAGATTTGATACAAATTTACTTTGTAAAAATATTTTTTTGCATGATATATAAAATAAAAATTAAAAGAACTAGTGAATTTATATATTTTATGATTTTTTAAGTTTAAGTTACAATTATAATAACACAAATTTAAGAAAAAAAATATAGACTTTGTACTGGTCTTGGCTTAATATTAAGCACCAACTACCCAAATTCAAATACTATCTTTTCGACTTTTTCACTTCTCAGTTCCAAGTATCACCCATTCATCGATGATATCTTTAGTTTTGACCGTTGAATTAGGTCAATCTTGTAGATCTCCCAATAATCCTTCTCGATACGGTTTCAAGCAAGGGAAGATGGCATGTTGTGGTTGAGGGTGTTATGCCTAAAAGCTGAAGATGACATCTTCTTTGAATAGCCTAATCACTAATGTCACCGCACCTTACAATCTCAAAACATTGTTTGAACCCTAGGCCTTTTCAAATTTAAACGGTTTGATTTTTGTTTTTATTTCCCATTTTCTAATGAAAGGGAATAAGAGTTTTACATATTACAAACACCAAACCATTTACTTATTTCACAAACAAGCAGAACGAAACTAGGGCTTCTAGATTTCTTGCGCTGGAAGATACGTCACCGATTTACCTACAAGATCCCTTATGTTCACCGGAGAGACGACATGTCTGTCTCCAGAGTAAAACAGATTAGCTATATCTTCATCGGTTTTCTCAGTGTTGTGACGCCCGTCAAAAAACAAAAACGCTTTCTGGTAACTACAGAGTTTCGAATGCACATTACTATAACCACACCCGTACGCATTTCTCGATCCAGTACCACAGCAAGATGTCGTTGTATCAATATACCCTAACCATCAAAATCACGATTATCATTTTTCTATAAAATTATAACTACTAGAAAAAATATCTCATTTTTTTTTAAAAAGGAGTTTTTATTTATTTACCATGGCGTGACGGTTCATTAATCCTTCGTAGAATCTCACCGTTAAAATCAAAGACGCTGTACCGTAAGCTACGGTATCTTACGGTTATAGCAAATAGCACACGACTAAGACGTTCATTGTGTGTTTTCACCATGAAGTTAACCATCTCCATACAACTTTCACCGGTCTTAAACTCTTGTCTCACTATTGGTAAACAACCAAGCGGTCCTATGTTCTGTACCGCAAACTTCCTCGCACCACCTGACTTGTACAAACTCTGCATATCACCAAAAACCATTTTCCGGTTCAATAAGATATATTATATCTTAAAATAATTAATATACTTAGGTATATAAATCTATTTCAGATATATTGGAGTATCCGAAATACTTCGGTTCAGATCGGATTCGGTTCTTTAAATACCAAAATTTTGAATCCATTGGATATTTTAATTAGTTTCGGTTCGGATTCGTTTATACTTTTTAGATCGGGTTCAGTTTGGTTCTTCGGATTCAGATTTTTTGCCCAGTCCTAAAATTCCCATTACGAAATAAAATCCAAACCGGATCAGATCTAAACCGTCCAGTAACTTTTTGAAGAAAACCTACATACCATTAATTCTCTGGATAACTTTTGAAGAACATTTGCAACAAATGCAATCTGCTCCACAAGATTAGCATTTGGATGAGCGTTAGCGAAATTTAAGTAATCATCAGCTCCGATGTTGATCATGTATAAAGCTTCTGCTCGTTCTTTATCGCTCCATTTCTTGTGTAACTCTATAAACTTTGTTATCTGTTGTCCAAAACTCATCTGCGTAGACGACAAAACAAGAAGTTTATTTTTTTTTGTAAATGAAACCAAGAAGTTCATTACAGATCCATTTTAGACAAAAGCGAAAAAAAGACAAAGCTTACAGTGTCAGATGGAGATCCAAGAACAGTTGCTCCAGAAATGGCAAAGCTTGCTCCACGTGAAAGATCAGCTTTAGGATCAAGAACCGGAGGTACCGGTTCTTGATTACCAATCAACCGACCTAGTTGCATTACATCATAATCAGTTACAAGAACAAATAAGTATAAGACTTGCATGTACTTGTGTTATATATGTTTTATACCGACAAAGTCTGGGACAATGTTGCCGTCAGACCAACGACCGGTCGGAAAATCTAATGACTCGCCGTATGGCCAGGTGGTGGCTGGATCGAACGCTGATGAGAAGAACTTGGTGTTGCCTACATCGTAGGAAGAGTCGCCGAAGGTGAATAAGAGAGGTGACTCGCCGGCGGCAACGTTTGCCGGGAAACTGGCGAGTGTAAAAGACGTTAATAGCCCTGCGAAGAAGATTAAATTACGGTTGATTGCCATTTTTTTTTTCTAAAGCCTTTTTAGCTTTTTCACGGTGGAGTTGGTGTGTCTTCCAGTGTTTGGAGTTTTATATACTTGTTAGAAGTGTTTGTTACGTTGTTATGTGATCTACTAAACCACATAAAACCGAAACTAACCGAAGATATTTAAATACTTATGTCATTAGTTAATGTGATGAGATCTGCCATCTATATTTTCAGAAAGTGGGTGGGTGGAGCCGAGTTGATTTCGATCATGTGATGTTATCCCTTTGGGGACCGGAATGAATAATATAATGTACCCTAAAGCCAAGCCATCTCCGACATACAGCTTTTTTAGGGGTTGAAAGTAGGGGTGGGCACAATTATTTGCTATTCGGTTTGTACTCGCTACTTGATTCGTACTTGAATTTTAAAGTCGAGTACTCATTTTGTTTAAGTCGAGTATCAAATCGTTTATTTCAATTACTTGCAAGTATAAGACAAATACCAAGTACGAAAAAAAAAAATTACTTGGCGCTGTTGGTTTGTTACTCATGACTTATTACTTGATTTATTACTCGTTTTTTATTTTTAGACAAAAAAATCTCTAAATTATAATCAAAGTACTTGTTTATAAAATAAATGAATTAATAGTGATATATTCTTTTAGAGTTTACTTTTAATATAATAGATTTATCATATATCGATTTAAAACATATAAAAGTAAATAAATATTCTTTATTAAAATTGTTTAGATTATAATTATAACTAACTAAATTTTTCTTAAATTCATATACAAGGTTTAAGTAGCAAAAATTAATAAATTATTATTAAATAATTTACAAATAATTATATAATCATTTATAAATTAGTTCAAAAGCAATTAGTAAAGCAGAGCAAGTAGTTGAAAGTATACAATTTTTAGTAAATATTTGAAAGTGCAAGTACTTGTTTTTAATAAACCAAGTACAAATTCAAAATTTTATTTCTCAAACAAACCAAACCAAATACCAAATACGCCAAAAATGACAAGTATTTGACATGTTTCCACCCCTAGTTGAAAGTTTGAGGTTGAGTTGTTCCAGTAAAAAGAGGTTGAGTTATTCCAGTAAAAAGCTTCAAATATAAAATATTTTTCTAAAATAGAATTGAAGCATTTTACTATAATAACTCAACCTCAAACTTTCAATCATTATATGGACTTGAAACAAAAATTAATTAGAATCACTAATTTTTTAATAAATAAATAATAAATATAATTGTCCTTTAAAATATAAACTAAACTGAAAAACATGATATTTATGTCATATATATATATATTTTTTGGTTTAACCAAATGACCAAATTTTTATGTTTTTCAAAAAGTAACTTGAAAAAAGTGATGAAATAATCCAATTGCATATATACATAATATCTCTAATTTACATAATATTGTTTTATATCTATAATTCTGATTTTAATATATTTCTATATTTTATGCATGAATAGCACATATACAAAAAATATTTATTTAAATATTTACTGAAATATAATTATAAGGCTTAAAGTGATAAAAATTAGTATAAGTACAATTATATGTTGTTTATAATTACAGAAAATAAAATAAAACGTTGATTTGCCCAAAAAAAAAACGTTGATATTTTTTAAGGGTTTGAGGTTTTGTTAGAGAACGAAGAACTTCATAATTAGAAGGTTTAATAGTTTGTTAGAAATGCACGTTTCATAAAAACAGTTTTATCATATTTGTAAAAATATAATAAGTACCATAGTACATTGTCAAAATACACCGTAGCATACTACCAGTTATTTATATTTTAATATGTAAAAATCAAATTAAATTACATATCTAATTTTTTATTTTATTTTAATCGAGTAAGAACACACAATGTGAGTTTCTTTCCTTCATTCTCATATTTTAGTTGACAAAAAAAATTAATAAAAAAGAAGAGAGAACATAAAAATCACCATCATTTCTTTATAAAACGTATTCATCAGTACAATAGGTATTGTGCTACGTGTTATATTATGATTTGTTAAAATTTATTTTTTGTTTAAATTTTAATTGGATAATAAATTATATTAATTTTAGATAAGTAAGTTACTTAACTGAAAAATTGAATTATTAATACTGTACTAAGAACATCTCCAACCTCTTTTCACATTTTACAGCAATATGGAATGGGAAAAGAAGTAATGAACAAACAAAAATGAAATTACTTTATAAATAGAATAATAATTTTTTGTTTGTTCATTATTCCATTTTCCATTCTATTTTGTAATAAAATAAGTGATGTTGAAAATACTATAACATTGTAAAATATTACCAATTGTTCATGTAAACATATAGTCAGATATATGTATATTTTTTTTTTTGAAAAACATATATTCAGATATTTTTAGGTGAATTATTGATATATCTATAGTAGATGACAAAATTCAGCAAACAGACATGTGATAATTTTTACAAGAGATGTGACTGGTTATCAATGATCACACAAACATACATTTTTCTTTCTTGTCGCAAGTGATCATGCATCAACATACAAGACATTCGTTCACAGACTAGCATATTTTAAAGGTCATATAAAACAAAAATCTTATCAACACAAATTATAAATGTAACCATAGTAAGATAATTAATTGTTGATACAAGGATATTAGATTTAACCATTGGTAATAGTTCAGTGGCTTTTGAGAGAAATTAATCTAATACGGTGAATCTTGAATCAAATTCTATTAGCCACATGGGTATAAACTATTACTTTCGACTCATTTAAATATTTTGAAAAAGTCTATCCGTAGATTATTATCTTTACATATGAGTTAAATTTTCATCTTTAATAGAATTAGATATAAAAGTAAAACAAAAGAAAATATCCGGATCAACAAAAGAAAATATCAAAAGTGTTAATGAACTATCATTTTTTAAAATGCAAAATTCATGAGTTTACAAATATTTTAATCTATAAAGCTAATATACAATAAAAAAAGTCATGTTTAAGAAGTTGTAACTTTGTGGAGAAAATTTTGCCCATTTGAAATTTTTTAATATGTCATATGCAAAAATATGTATATATATATATATATATATATATATATATATTATATTGAGTTAATTATATTGCTATAAAATTATATATAAAATGAAGTGAGGTCGGAAATGCAAAATAAAAATAAAGAATACGAAAAAGATAAAAATAGATCAACCGTTAGGATTTACTAAGGATATGAATATAATCTTACATAATATGTACACAATATTGTACCATGATTTTCATGTAGATGAGTTATATAATGCAAAAATCAAATATTCTTTCAATGTTATTTTATTTATTACTCCTTTAAAAATAATATAGTAAAATAATTACAAATATACTTATTTAATGACTAAGTGGTTTTGAATCTGGATGTCTGTATATTCTTCTATTAGGGTACGTGCAGTGATGCATTTTAATGAGTTTATCTAAAAACGAATAAAATAGGTAAAAATGTAGGGAAGAGGGAGATTTAAACAAATGACTTTTTTTATTTTTTTATTAAACACAAATGACTTTTCTTCTCTTAAAGATTCTGTAAGAACATACGCAGTAGAGTATCTTCCGTTCAAATTCTTATATTTAATTTAATAAAAATTATGAAAACGAGAGAGAAACAGAAAAGATAGGACTTTTAGTAATTTAAATCTTTAATTAAAGATTAATCGTAAAATCAACTCTCAACTTAAAATTATGTGAAATAAACTTTTTTTATGTTCGTTAATATTTTCGTCGCTCCTTAACTTTTGTCGTCAACTTTTGACGGATAAACGTTAATTATTGACGAAAAGATTATGGAGGGGCGAAAACATTAATGGACATAAAGATGAAGGTTTATTTCACAAAATTTTTGGTTGAGAATTTGTTTTATGATATATCTTTAGTTGAAGGTTTAAATTACAAAAAAAACATTCTTAATATAAACCTGCAATGAAAAATAAAATAAAACAATGAATAAACTCATAGTTAAACCAATCATAAAGTGAATTAGTTTCATTGGATTTCTGAACAAGTCAAACCTCATTTTGTAAAGCTGAAGTGGAACATTGAAAACCTAACTCTCTTAAGTTGTCTGAGCTTCCCAAATCAATAGAGAACCTACTAATTTTTAACATAAACATAAAAAAATACAGAAATAAGACCACAATTAATATGTAGAATGGTGTCTCAGTAAACGCCTAACATATCTATAACTTAGACAAGTTATCTTTTAGTTACCTTTTGTCTTTTCTAAGATTGGTTGGTGGGTCGGATGGAAATGCATGAGTAACTGGTTTGAAGGAGAAAGAAGTAAACTTATAATTAGACATGTGTAACTATTTTGTAATCAAAACATAAGCAAAACTGATTTAAAAATAAGTAAGGAACATCAAACATGATCATTCAAAATCAAATGAAAGGTAAACATAGTTATTAATAGAAAGAAAATCAAATAAAAGAAAGCATAAAACGAAAACCAAGTTCTTAAAAATGAGAAACATTATTCAATAAAAACAAAACCTTAATCTAAAAATTTCAAGTTTCAATCACCACTTTCAGTCATTAACCTTCATGTAATGGATAATTATTTTAGATGATTATTAATATCTTAAAGTATTTTGGATATATATTAGAAATAAAGATCATATTCGGTACATGTTCTTAATAAATTTTTTGAATGTTTCGGATTCTATCGGATAACCAATTAATTTTGAATTCGGTTTGGATAATACTCATAACCTGAAATACCATAAAACAAGATCCATTCAGTATTTAAGTCGATTTCAGATCGGTTTATCGGATCGGATTCGGTTTGGATTTTCGGGTTCGGTTTATTTGCCCAATCCTAGTGTTTACTTGCTGTGGGTGCTCTTAAGAACATTCTTAATGGAAAATCTAACTCTGGATCTTTCAATATATATATATATATATATATATATATATATATATATATATAATTATTAAATTTTTAAGTTTACGGCAACTCCAATATAAAAGTTCTCTACACAAATATTGTACGTTGGATTTCACGTAAAAATAAAATCAAAATTAAATACTACTAATCTATATATTTTTTTTTTGAGAACTCCAGATCCAAAATACCATACAAATCCATCTGTCTATTTTCCATCCACTGAAATTTAGACTTATCTAACTTTTAGCATGGAAATCGAAGATAACCTCTTAAATTTTTAATAGGTGAGTCCAAAGAATTAGTTTGTCAAATATGCACTTCTTCACAAGCCTAAACAAAACCATGCTTATGCATACATATTTATTGGTACATCAGACAATGAGCCGTGATCAAACTGTCGAAACAGTTTGAATATCTCTTATTTGTGTTGATAGACAACGAAACGGAAATACAAAATGATAAATAAACAGCCATTTATTCGACGTACGTCATAAGCAGAATTACGACGAAACGATAACGATACAACATACGATGGTGCTCACATATATGGACTGATTCAGCTCAAACTCATCTAAGACGATTAGTAAGCCGAGAAACCGATGTGGGAATCAGGCTGGTGGGAATAGGTAGATGGACGACGACGGATCGAAGACAAGTTAGGCACCCAATCCTCAAGCATGTTCTCTCCAACAGGATAGACAATTAACTCACGGATCGTCATCGGTTGGACCACGTTAGTGTTGGCTCCATACGCTAAATGAGCAAATTCCTCTTGTGCCTTCTCTGTGTTGTGACGTCCGTCGAAATAGAGGTACGATCTTTGGTACTCACATAGCTTTGAGTGCACGTTCCCCATCCCACAACCGTACGCATTGTGCGTCCCAACACCGCAACATGATGAGTTCGTCACGTAGAATCCTATTAATCATTTTTTTTAAACAAACGATTAGGTTAAATATAGGATATGTCTCACAAAAGTTCTAGTTGAGAGATTGGTTTTACGGTAGTTTCTTCTCTGTGTCCTACGAATGATGGCGTTGTAGAAATCGAAGACGGTGAACTGAAAACCCTTGTTTTTTTTTGCAAATTGGTTCAACATTGGACCGATCTTGTCGTTGTGTTGTTTGGCCAAATCATTGAGTTGCTGGTAACAATCGTTGCCGGTTCCATGTTCTTGTCTGATGATCGGTAAACAACCCAACGGTGCTAGTAACTGAACCATGAACTTACGCGCTCCAAAAGTGTATAACGCCTATCAAATATATAAAATTATTAAGTATTTTTTTTTTGGTAAACTGAATATAGTTGCAAAAAACGCATGCATTGGTTTAGGCAACTTACGTAGATGTCACTCTTTAGTTTGTTAGTGACGGTAACGACAAAAGCTTGCTGAGCAGAAGGGTCGTTTGCACTGGGATTGGTCTTGCTGAAGTTCAGATAATCTTCCATACCGATGTATATCATAAAGAGTGATTGCTTAATGTAGGCGTCGCTCCAATTCGTTTTCATGGATCCGAACTTGTTCACTTGGTCATTCAGTGTCATCTAGATATTCACAAAGAAATTAAATATAATTTTGTCTATTCATCACGTGTGTAATTTTCACATGTAAAACAGAAGATCAAATCGTCCTTGCCTCTCAATTTCGCACATCTTTTCGAGTTTTCTTTTTCCTAATGTTTCAAAATTTATCCCTAAAATCACCCTAAATGACTTATTGATCTTATCTCTTTTAAATAAATAAAAGAACAAAGCTAAAACATTTTATTTCTTTTTCTTTTTACTTATAATAACATCTGCAACTTCATATGGTTAAAAGAAAGGAAAGCTAACATCTATTCACTTTTACATATATATAGCCAAAGTTGTTAATATATTTTTCATCTTGGCAAAATAATATATTACAAAAATATATCACATGCTTATTTTATATTTTAGTGAAATATCGGCGACTTACATATTCTCCCGGAGCCCCAAGGATAGAAGCATCGGCGACGGCAAAACTAGCTCCACGTGAAAAATTAGCTCCCGGGTTTAGCGCTGGCGGGATTCCATCAGGTATGGATATGAAGTCACCTATACAGTCACCCTTGTTAATATTATTAAACTATATTGTATATCTTAAGCTATTTATATAAATATATTAGTAAATAATATTGTGTCAGAGACGTACCGATAAAGTCAGTGACGAGGTGGCCATCTGAAAACTTGCCGTTAGGATCGTCACGGGACTTGCCATAAGGCCAAGTGAATTGCGGACCGCCTTTGTTGTTGCTTCTAAACGCTGCGTTTCCGGCGTCGTAAGACGAGTCTCCGAAAGCGAATATCGCTACATCCGGAACACCCTGGCCAGCGTAGACGATGGTCGGATTATTGAAGATGGTTAATACGAATAGTGCCCATACAACACTCACGAAACCACACTTGCTTACCATCTCTCAGTTATATTTGGAAGATTATATTTGGTTGGCTTGGTGAAGTTCCCACTCTCAGTACTAGTCATATTTATATTGCAAAAGATAATAATAGTAACCTTAATTAAGAGTGTGACGGAATGAAATGTTTAGCGTTAATAAATTAATGTAACAACTTTCTGCGGACGTATTCTGTTTTTAACCAATCAAGAAAAACATGTTTTTAACGCTACACAACAAAAATATGATAAAATAGAAAGATAAATTTTGCACAGAGTTTCGCTTTGAGTTTTCTTCCTTTTTTTTTTGAGAAAACTTTTAATTTTGAAACTTTTTGGAGAAATACACTTATATGTGATTTTAATTTGACAACTACACCATCATGTAAGTGTTTTGAAAAATATACTTTCATATATATGAATTTACTAAATTATCTTTTATTAATACTATTATCAAACTGTTATCATCATAGTTTATTTATATTTTTTAACAGTTTCAAAAAGAAGAAGATTTTTTTTTAAAAAAAAATCTTAATAATATCTACCTAGTATCTTTTTAAATATATCGTAATTATTTTTTTAAAAGAAGAAACACACTTTGTCTTCTAATGACTGCTTATTCTTCTCTTTGATCTTTTATCCTGCATTTTTGCTAAGCATTTTTCATTTCTCTAGTTTCATAGTTTCTTCTACCTCTTAATCTCTCATTCACAGATTTATTATTTTTTCATCCATTATTTAAGTGTAATCCGATTTTCTACATTTTCATTTATGTTGTTGTCCAAGTCTTTTTTTCCCTCGTTAAACATACATTTGATCTCTACAGCTTTATCATCTCGCTTTTAATAGTTTTCTGATGAGCACAAAATTTAAATTGAGTTTTTGATGATTTCAAAATCAGATTTCGGTTTTTAATTCTCATTATGTTTTTTTTTCTGAAAATTATGGTGCATATAATTGAAGTTCTTGGAAAGTGGGATGAGTATATTTGTAGGAAAGACGTAGTTTTTTCTATAGAGAATGGTAATTACAAACATCATATTTTATTTATTACATAATACTGTTGGTATTTAAAGGGTATTTTAAATTCTAGATATATAGTATGATAATATATTTATCTCAAACATATATTTACATAAACATAAATAAATATAGTAATAGCAATATTATTATTATTAAATTTTAATTTATATATATATATATATATTCTTTATTCAGAAAGATGTAATTTTCAAATTCTAAACTATTATTAGATTATTTTTCAAATTATCCCTTTGAGTATTTGCACTCCATACACATACAAAATCTCTTATTTAGCTACATACCCTATTTCTCTCTTCTCTCTCATTCCCTCTATTACTATTTTTCTCCCCCAAAATAGGGAAAATCCTTAAATAGTTTATTCTTTTAGTATATTGACCAAATTCACTCTTTAATTTTCTCCTCGTCTTACCTTTTCCATTTCATAAATTTACCAATAACTTTTTTTTTGTTGAACAAATACCAATAACTTTCTTAACCCTGATTTAGGTAATCAAATTATTTCGGCATAATACTTTATCATATGCTTCCTTTATGGGTTAGATACTTTTTCTGTTTTGTGTACTTTTGTTCTTTTGAGTTTGTTTTCTGAGATTTGTTTTTTTTTGAGAAATTGTTGTTTTGAGATTGAATACTTGTTCTTTACTATCAGAACAGTACAAGCTCTATAGACTGAACAACTTGAAACAAATGCGAAAAGCATAAGCAAAATATAAAATATTAGTATTTTGAAAATTTTATGTTGAGAAATCTTCATTGTAATTGCTCTAAAATTACAACGTCACACATAAACAAGGCCAAGGTTTTGCAAACAAAAAAAAGTTAAATAAAAGAGTAGTTAACTTCTTAACTAAACAAAGACTCACTAACTACTCTTTTATTTAACTTTTTTTTTGTTTGTGAAACCTTGGCCTCATTTACATATTCCCTCTATTTTATATTATATGACGTTTAGAAAGTTTATGGTAGTTAAAATATAAAATGTTTTAGAATTTAAGATTAACTTTCAATTGTTTTTAAATTGTTTAATCAGTTATTTGTGATAATCTTTTTAATTGGCTGAATCATTTTTAATAAGTAATTTAATGATACTTTTTTTAGAAAAACAAGTTTCTTATGATTTTAGTCATAACATCTTATATTCATAAAATTAAGGGAGTATAATATATACTTTCTTCACTAATAAGAAGAAAAGATGTAGCTTTGCCAAAACTGTTTTTGAATAGGTTTTTGTCTATTTTATTTAATTAACTGAACCGTATTCATTTCTAGATTTAGGTTTAATTCATGTAGTAAATATGAAAACATAATAACCATATTTTAAGAGCATATTAAATTAATTCAGACATATTAAACTAATTCAGATTTTGGCGAATAAACTTTTCTCAACGTAAATCGAAGATGCGCTTTACATTTTTTTAGGTGTGCCACAAAAATTAGTTTGTCAAATATGTACTATACAAGACTAAATAAACCATGCTTATGCACATAAATTTATTGGTACATCAGACAATGAGAGCCAGTGATCAAACTCTCGAAACAGTTGCAAATATCTCGTATTTATGTTGATAGACAACGAAACGGAAATACAAAAAAGATAAATAAACAGCCATTTATTCAACGTACGATAACGATACAACATACGACATGGTGCTCAAACTCATCTAACACGATTAGTAAGCTGAGAAACCGATGTGGGAATCAGGCTGGTGGGAGTAATAGGTAGATGGACGACGACGGATTGAAGACAACAAGTTAGGCACCCAAACGTCAAGCATGTTCTGTCCAGCTGGATAGACAATTAACTCACGGATCGTCATGGGTTGGACCACGTTAGTGTTGGCTCCATACGCTAGATGAGCAAATTCCTCTTGTGCCTTCTCTGTGTTGTGACGTCCGTCGAAATAGAGGTACGATCTTTGGTACTCACATAGCTTTGAGTGCACGTTCCCCATCCCACAACCGTACGCATTGTGCGTCCCAACACCGCAACATGATGAGTTCGCCACGTAAAATCCTATTAAACATTTTTTTTTTAAAAAACAAACGATTAGGTTAACTAAATTTGATATATGTCTCACTATAAAGTTGTGGTTAAGAGATTGGTTTTACGGTAGTTTCTATTTCTCTGTGTCCTGCGAATGATGGCGTTGTAAAAATCGAAGACGGTGAACTGAAAACCGGGGGATGTTTTTGCAAACTGGTTCAACATTGGACCGATCTTGTCGTTGTGTTGATTGGCCAAATCATTGAGTTGCTGGTAACAATCATTGCCGGTTCCATGTTCTTGTCTGACGATCGGTAAACAACCCAACGGTGCTAGTAACTGAACCATGAACTTACTTGCTCCCAGGGAGTATAACAACTATCAAATATATATACGTATATATATATTAATAACTGAATATATGTGAAGTAGAAAAACGCATGCAATGGTTTATGCAACTCACGCCGATGTCATTCTTTAGTTTGTTCGTGACGGAAATGACAAAAGCTTGTTGAGCAGAAGGGTCGTTTGCACTAGGATTGGTCTTGCTGAAGTTCAGATAATCTTCCATACCGATGTATATCATAAAGAGTGATTTCTCAATGTAGTCGTCGGTCCAAGTCGATTTCATAGTTCTGAACTTATTCACTTGTTGATTCAGTGTCATCTAGATATTCACGAAGAAATTAATTACTATAATTTTGGCTGTCAGTCACATTTCAGTGTAAAAACATTTGCATCAAAATTTATCTTATTATAAACGCTTACCCAAACATATTTAATTAAACAATAGCTCAAATTTTCAAAATATTAATGTAAAATCTCTCACTTAAAATTTCTAGCATAATTTCCTAGAAAAAAACTTTTCTATTAAAATATTTTTATTTTCTATGAGACTTCAATTTGAATGTCCTAAGACTATTAGTAACCCCAATCTCTTAATTAGGGTTCTTAGCTTCGGTTAAGAGAAGTTCTTAGTTTTTTTTTTAGATTTTAACTAAGAAAAACTAAGATCTGTCTCTTAAATAAGAGATATAAGAGCATGTTTATTGCAAGATTTTTATCAAATTTTTAACTATTAAAATATTAAAAGTAATTAAAAATATGAAAGAGAATTAAGATATGTCTCTTATTTAAGAGTCATCTCTTAATTTAATCTTGCATCTGTCCTCCACTTGGCAACTTCTAATTAGTTTAGCTATTTAATTTTAATTAAAATTTAATTATTTATTTATAATATATTAAAATAATGATATTTTGTTGTTAAGAATTCCATTTTAAGAGTCCATACGATAAACATACTTTAAAGTCAGTCTCTTAACCAAAAAATGTGAAAAAAAAATATCAGATCATGAATTAAAAATTCCTATTAAAAAATTGGAGTTAATCATGTTCTAACTTCTCTTACGGACATGCACACACATAATAAATAAACTAATCAAAATGTACTTTTTCAACATGTATACAATTTCCATATGACAACCAAAGATAAAAGAGTCCTGGCTTCTCAATTATGCACTTCTTTTTCCAGTTTTTTTTCCTAAATCTTCAAATTTTCCTCCCTAGGGTTGTAAAAACTCGCCTAGAGTAACCTAATTGATCGTATCTCTTTGAAATAAATAAAACAACGACAGCTACAGCATCATATGTTTAAAAGAAATGAAAGCTAACATCTATTCACTTTAACATATATCCAAAGTTCTTAATATGTTTTTTCTCGTTTTGGCAAAAAAAGTATTCTTTGTTTTCTTTTAAATTTTAGTGAAAACGAACTTACAGATCCTGCCGGAGCCCCAAGGATAGAAGCACCGGCGACGGCAAAACTAGCTCCACGTGAAAGATTAGCTCCCGGGTTTAGCGCTGGCGGGATTCCATCAGGTATGGATATGAAGTCACCTATACAGTCACCGCTGTTAAAAATTAAATTATCTTGTATGTACTAAGCTATTTTTTTTTTGTCACAAGTATATACTAAGCTATTTATATAAATATATATAGTGAATAATATCATGTCAAAGAGACGTACCGATAAAGTCGGTGACGATGTGGCCATCTGAAAACTTGCCGTTAGGATCGTCACGGGACTTGCCATAAGGCCAATTGAATTGTGGTTGGCCTTTGTTTGTGCTTATAAACGCTGCGTTTCCGGCGTCGTAAGACGAGTCTCCGAAAGCGAACAACGCTACCTCCGGAACACCCTCGCCGGCGTAGACGATGGTTGGATTATTGAAGATGGTTAATACCAATAGTGCCCATACAACACTCACGAAACTGCACTTGCTTACCATCTCTCAATTATTAGTTATGCGAACATAATCAGTGGATGATTATATTTATTTGGGTTCGTGAAGTTCCCACTCTCTCTACTTGTCATATTTATATTGCAAAAGATAATAATAATAATAATAATCTATTAATAATAACAATCCACATTAATGTCAAAAGAGTGTGAATCTCAATTAAGGTTAAAAGTTTTTTTTTTGCAACTATCATTTTCTTAGTGTTTATAACAACAATAATAAAAATCAACAAAAACTTACTTCTTTATTTAGAAGAGTTTGTGATCTTCTCCATCATAGGTCACTTAAAGATAAATATCATTTGATAAATTGATCAATTACCAAACCAAAACAAGCATGGAGGTTAGTGTCTTTCTTCTTCTCTAATAAAGGTTAAAGTTGATGTGAAACAAATCTAGAGAACAAATCTAGATTATAGTCTTAGATAGATTTTACTATAGAATCATAAACATGTGGTATGAGAGCCATTACTGTAAGTAACGTACAAGGATTACAAGGATTTATGGTCGGCATTTGTTAAGTGTGTCTTCATGATCCATATTGTTGCATTTAATTGTTCTGAAATTGTGATGTTCATAAACTCAGTTATTATTCTTTGACATGTAAAGGCACATGCATGTTTTTGAAAATTTATTATTTTTTGACATGTAAAGACACATGCATGTTTTTGAAAATTATTTTTTCTTTGGCTTGAGAGGAGAGTGTGAGTGAATTTTTAAACATGAATGGCTTTAATCTGAGTAACTATGTAAAAGTGAAACTTTCGTTAAATTTAAGTGACTAAAACTAATTATAGTTTGTTAAGGAGGATCAACACGTGTACTTGAAATTATTATAGGACTGCATTTTAAAAAAAAAAATAATAATTGGATGATTGACAGTTAGTGCATGCATTTTGTTGTTGCGAAGAGTCACCATCGAAAGGTTGTGAAAATAAGCATTCACATGCAAAATGCATGTGCTTAAATAACCTATGGAATTTTGTTGTCACCATAATGTATATTGTCTGAAGGAATGCATTAAACCTTTTAATATTAGTAACTAAAAATATATAATATTAGTAGTTAATTATTCCATATGTCTTGGGACACAATTACTATTAATTAAAATATTACACAATAAGAATTCTGATTGATTCTAAAAGTTGTGTTGTATTTTCTTAAAAAAATTGCATTTGTTTAAATAATTTCAATTTTTATAATGGAAAGACGCAACTTTTCATATGTACTAGATTTTATACTCGCGCTACGCGCGAGTCTGTTTTAATAATTTGGTTTAATTAAAATAACTTAAAACCAAAATATTAATTGAGTAATATAATTTTCTTATTTAAAATATAATCTTTAATTTAGTATTTATGTTTTCTTATAATTATGTTATCTTATTAGCTATTTAGTTATTTGTATTTGTAAATATAATAATTATGTTTCTAAACATATTCATATTTTTTGGAAATATTAATTTATATTTTA